CCCCAAAACCCCAAAACCCCAAAACCCCGTATTTATTCATGATTATTGATTAAAATTATTTCAAATTTTTACCCCTGAATGGATCTAAACCAGGACCTTCATACTGATTCTTTAAACGACTCTCGTGCTAGCTTGAACCTGGGACAACGAAGTCCAAAAAGGAAATTAACCAAAGGAACAAATAGACGTAAATCGGTAAGTGTATTTTATTATTTCTAGCAACATGGAACACCTCTACAAGAGAGGAAAAAATTTGGTAGAAGGACTTACCACAACTCCTTCCAGCGAGAAGATTCTGCACCAAATACTTGCATTCGAAATCAACGTCCAAAGACTGCTAATTACAAATCTAAAAGAAAACGGAACGAAGATGCTCATTTCAGTATTCTTCATAATATAAGTTATAGAAGAGGCTTATGATTTCTCTGCAACAGACCCTAAATAAAATAGTGAAAGAGTACAAGAACATCTCTGTTACAACTCCTCAGATGGAGTACAACCACTACGAAAGTAGGCCTCATGGGTAATCTTAGGCAAACGGATGATTAACGCCAATTACAAAGAAAGAAGAGACCATTTCAAATAAAACTTATAAACGGTTCAATGAAGTAGAAGGTAACCTTAGCTTATAGCTTTAGCTCCTATAAAGAAAAGCAATAAAAATTCTGCCAATAATTTACATGTCAAAAGTGAGCAGAGGTAATCATTTGATCAAGCTTTAGTGCAATGACACGCATGGAGAGAAGACTTTTAAGGCCAAAGAGCAGTTATATCTCATCACAGCAGGTTAAGAGTCATAACCAGAAATGTCTAACTAATAATGCTCAGCGAAGAAAGATTAGTACTACGAAGAGGAAGAAGAGGAAAATTAATAAATCTCACCTTTTGTTAAACAAGGACTTTAGTCTAAATAAAGGTGATATATCTAATTTGAAGCACTTTGTTAATGTGTTGACAAATCACAGAAAGAGTGAATTATACAACATTGACCATAAGAAATACTCTAAATCGACAGCAACTTATGATCGGAATAATAAACAAAAGATTAGCAGGTAAGTGTACTGATGAGCTGTAGTCTCATTAAAATGATTCATCCTGAACAATACATTCGTCCTTTATTGCGTAAAAGGAAAGTAGGATTAGCTCGATCTGAATGGATTGATTACCAAGATTCTGGAATCCCAAATTCGGTTGAAAGGGATTCGAAAAGCCAACATGTGTTGTCATTTCCTTCACAAGATACTATTAATAACCATCAGACTTCAGTATGGGAGCAATAGTAAACATTAATTCTACTTCGAATATTCCTAACCAGAGTCCCGCTAAAGACCTATCACATTCGTTCCAGTATCCTCCCACTGACTTTAAAATCCATATGAAGATTTCTAAGCTATCACACAAAAGAAATGGACCGTTTGCAAAATCGAAGACTCATACTAACAAATAAGGAAGGATTCCTCTAAATTTGAGGAGGATTTTAAGACAGTACAAACTTGCTTTTGGAAGAACCATAAAGTATCATTCATAAAGCATCAATTTGGGTAAGGTTCTACGGGGTTTTGGGGTTTTGGGGTTTTGGGGTTTTGGGG